GAGAGCGCATACCCAGACTCGTACAGTAATTCAGGTTGCAAGGGATCTCTGAGGTCTCTGAACCTGGGCCTTGTCCAGCTGAGGAGATGCTTCTCCTCTCGCGTGGGCTAGTTTTGGCCAAAGCAGGTAGTGGTTCAAGCAGCAGTTTGATGGCACTCCCCACCTCCACGTGCTTTTTCATTCTGCCCGTGCCAGAGCCCTGGAGGCCTGTTGGCTATGACCATGGACAGGTTTGGGTTTGCAAGTAGCAAGCAGGAGGAACCAGCACTCTGACCCTTTCAGTCCTCCCAGCCCAGTCCTCTAATGACTTCCCTCAACTCTCTCTCCTAGTCTCCTCTTTCCTCCCTGGCAGGAGGCAGCTTGAGCTTTCATCCTCAAGGCAGAAAAAGTCTCTTTTTCCTGCACCTCCAGGAAGGCCTGACTCAGCTCTACCATCTCTCTTAGATGTTGATATCCCTTTTTACCTGTCACAGATGCTCAACAGCATCAGAAGCGGATCTCCTTCATGGGGTCTCACCGGTTAGGGTTAGCTGGCTGCGGATGCTCTTCTCCCCCTGACTTTTGTTGTCTTGTATCTTGAGAAGTGGGAGTTGCTTCTGAGAACATCGTCCGATGGGGAACTTGCCTGCTGGGGCTCCGCCGCCAGCATCAAATAATTAATGCTGATTATGAGGAGCCTTTCAGCAGCTGAAGCAGACCAATCCACTTGTTTCATGCTCAGGCGGTCTGCAGGTCCTGGCACCGAGCAGCTCAGAGGTGGAGAGCTCGCGTCAAGGGCTGCCATCCTTGAAGGGCGGCAGTGGCTACGGCACCAAGCGCCCTTCGCCACCCAGAAGGGGGAATGGAAAGGGGCTTTCAAAGGCCTTGGCTTCCAATCCCTCTTCCAAACCACCCCAGACACCTCTCTGATCACAGGGTCTGTCCTATTCTTGCAGTTCAAATTGATGGAGGCTCTGCAAAGGAGAGGAAGTCAGAAAAGTTCTTGGAAGTTCCTACACCTTCTATTCAGATGAGATTTGTCTCCATAACTCTTTCTGCTGCCCAGATGAGCTGCAGGGCCTGTTTTCCACATGCAGGAGCTCTGTTGCCTGCAAAGGGCATGTGAAGACCTGGTGAAGCAGCTCAGCCACAGCGTCCAGGAGCCCTGGCCACGCTGGCCCTGCAGATGATAGCCTGGATTCCCTTCTGGAAATGATCTTTGAGATGGAGAAGTAAAATGTCAGGTTTGGCTTTCAGGGAGCTCCAGGCATGGTAAATGTTTCCTCGTTTGGATGAAAGCTTGTCAAAGCAGGGGATGCAGTTTATCCCCTGAATTTACAGATTACAAAACCTTTTACCTGTTGAAGAAAGCCAATGTCACCCCAGTCTTCCAAAAGGGCAAGGAGGAGGAGCCAGGAAACTACAGGCCTGTCAGCCTCCCCTCCATCCCTGGAAAGGTAATGGAACAGCTCCTCCTGGAGGTCCTCACTAAGCATCTGGAGGACAAGAAGGTGATCGGGAGTAGTCAGCACGGATTCACCAAAGGGAAATCGTGCTTGACCAATCTGACAGCCTTCTCTGATGGAATGACTGGCTGGGTAGGTGAGGGGAGAGCAGTGGATGTTGTCTCCCTGGACTTCAACAAGGCTTTGGACACTGTCTCCCATCACATCCTCCTAGGGAAGCTCAGGAAGCGTGGGTGGGGTGAGTGGACAGTGAGGTGGACTGAGACCTGGCTAGGTGGCAGAGCTCAGAGGGTTGCGGTCAGTGGTGCAGAGTCAAGTTGGAGGCCTGCAGCTAGCGGTGTGCCCCAGGGGTCAGTCCTGGGTCCGGTCTTGCTCAAGGTATACATCAATGACCTGGATAAAGGCACAGAGTGCACTCTCAGCAAGTTTGCTGATGATACTAAACTGGGAGGAGGGGCTGGCACACCAGAAGGCTGTGCTGCCATTCCGAGGGACCTGGACAGGCTGGAGAGGTGGGC